CGTCAAAAAATTAAGATCGCTCGTCAAAATGGAGCTTCTTATACTTCAGTATCAGGTAATCTAATTACTTCTAAAATTACTGGTCCTAATTGTGTTTGCAGACGCAAATGTATGAATACGTTTTCCAATGACGAAAAAAAAAATAATTCATAATTTATATGATGGAAAACCGAAAAATGAATTTGATACTTTTTTACTCGGGCTGATCGAAACAAAATCTGTGATTAGACGCCGCCAAAGGTCTGAGATTGGTGGAGCAAAAGCAAAACCAAGGGCGAGTAATTTTGCGTACTTTGTCAAAAAGAACGAATTACGCATATCTGTTTCCAAACAGGCTTTTATGAGATTGCATGCTATATCACATATTCAAGTGCAAAGATTAACAAGTATTTTGTTATCTGGTATATCACCTTAAGATGGATGTGGAAAGCACAACAATCGACCGTCCAAGATAAAAGACGAATTCATTGTAAAGATTAAAGAACACATTGTATCATTTCCGCTGGAAACGTCTCATTATTCTTCTAAACCTTTACGGTATTTGCCTTGTACCTTAAATACTAAGGAAATGCACAGATTGTTTATTAAAAAGCACCCAGATCTTGAAAATAAAATAAAATATGAGTACTACCTAAAGTTTTTTCAAGAAAATTATAACTTCAGCTTTCGTCGACCTTAAGTGGACGTATGTTCAGAGTGTGAGAACTTGGGATCAAGAATCCGGGATAAAAACTTAAATGATAATGCAAAGAGAGTAGCAGCAGCGCAGTATTTAATCCACAAAAAACGTGCCAATAAGTTGTATAATAAACTTAAAGAAGTTGAGATTCTATGTAAGGAAAATCCTAGTGTGGCAGCAATATGTTTCGATTTTATGCAAAACTTTCCTTTACCTAATATACCTGTTCAAGAGGTATTTTATTATCGTCAACTGTGGGTAAATACCTTTGAAATTCATGATTTAAAAGAAAATACAGGCCACTGTTACGTGTATCACGAAGGGCAAGCAAGAAAAAGCCCAAATGAAGTTAAAAAAGCTTAAGTTACTAAACAATAAAGTGTTACTATTATGTTTTAACTATTCCTACTATTTTATATTATTTTTATTTTAATTTAAAAGAAGTTAACAGGGAAATTATAAACAAAAACATAATTGAGAAGAAAAACAGTACTTGTCCAATGATATTTTTAAATTGTTTTAAAATAAAAAAAAAAAATTTTATGACCAATGATTGTAATAACAAGCTATTAGGAACTTTGTAAAAACAGCTACAAAATTTCCTGGCTTCTAAAGTCTATAAGTTACTGTAAACAGAATTTTTTAACTTGAAAACTTGATTATCTCAAATTTCACTTTTTGGACTAGTACTGTTCTTCCACTCACCGATTCAATTATTATAACGAATATACGTATACAACGTATATTATACAATNACCGATTCAATTATTATAACGAATATACGTATACAACGTATATTATACAATAATAGCATAGTGAACGCTCAATAACAAATGGAATTGCCATACTCTATCGTTAAAATTCTGTTCTGTAATAAGATTAGTGTCCGAATTACTTGGAAATAATGTTCTCAAAGTAAACCTTTCAATATAATTTTCAAAATTCCGACCACAAAATATAAATTTATCGGCATATTCATTATTTTTGAAATTTTTCCACACTGGGTATTGCACTAAAGTATTAAATTCAGAAACACTTATGGCCGTTATTCTCAAATTAATAGAACCATATATACAAAGTAAAGAAAATAAAGACAGTTTAAACATTTTGGAAAAATGATTTTTCATGAACAATACATTTACAGAGAAAAATGTTTTCTTTTTTTATATTAATAATTAGTACTCCTCCTTTGTTTAACATAAAAATACACAATTTTATTTTCGATCAAAAAGCTTAAAGTGACAGTAAGAATATATGAATGATATTGAAAACCGTAAATACTGTTACTTTGTAAAAGATTCATAACATTTGTACGAAAACTTTCTTGTCCTTGTAGTACCATTAAAGTATTAAAACACAAATAAATACGACTTGTATTTTCTAATTTTCTTTTCCAGAAAAATTTACAACATCAACATGGTGGTCAAAAAATGTATCAATTCCGTTTTGTGCATGCAAAAATTGCTTTCTAAAAATGTCCACTTGTGTAAGTTGAGCACTGATATACAAGTTTGAAAAACACAGCACAGTAGGGTGGCGGCACAGTGTGGTCGTGGCATAGTTGGATCCAGTATAGATGATATCTGACAGTGATTAAAATCACATCATAAAAAACGCTTCGATGAGAATCTGTAGATAGTGTTTAATTTAAAAAAATTAATGGATTACTCANAGAATCTGTAGATAGTGTTTAATTTAAAAAAATTAATGGATTACTCAAAAAGCTACATGATCTCCTATTTCATTATTTATATTCTGATTACAAGTTTTATGATTTATAAGTGTAATATATGAATAAATAAATATATATATATTAATAATATTTAAATATAAATAGTACTTATCATTTTTCAAAAAGTTATAGCATTATTAAGTTAAACATATAAAAAAGAATTATTTTACAATAATCGTATTTTTTTTTTTATTTACTTTAATGTTTATTTTCACCACGAAGACAAGTCCAGAGGTCAATTTTTTTTTTCCATAATAAATTACATTAGCTTTAATTTAAGATATATATAAAAGTGTCAGACTTTTCGGAACACTTTCAAAAGTTAAGTTGAAAAAGTTCTACTTTCTATATGCATTTTTCAGATTTGAACCCCCCGTATATAAGGAAATAGTCTGACTTAAAAAAAAAGATGTCGAATAAAAGATATATATAAATACTACTTCTCATGAAAAAATTGTATTGATCCAAATATTTTTTAAAAAGTTATAGCATTTTAAAGTAAAAAATGTAAAATATAAAATCGAGAATTTTCTTTTAATTATATATTATATAATTTTTAATTTCATTGTTTTCAAATTATTATTGATTTTTATTTTGATTTTTGATTATTTTGAACGTATTTTTTTTTGTCATTTAAAGTGAAAGTTTTAATAGAACAATATTCATGAAAGTCAGTGTATTCCCCCAATAAGATATTTTAAAATAAAATACAAAACCCAGAATTTTATTACAAGAATAGCATATTTTTGAATACGGTAGCCTTTTGTGCATAGAAGATAGGTCGTCGGGACAAAAATTTTTTTTTTAATTTTATAGTACATAAAATAAGCATTAATTTGACATATGTTTAAAGAGCGCAGTATTTCCGGAACACTTTCAAAAGTTAAGTTGAAAAAATTAATTTTTTGTAAAAAAGTTGTCATGTCTCAGCTTCGCATCGAAGCTATTATTGTTTCCCAACGTAGCCGCGTATTCTTTGGTGTTCGCACCTATTTATAAGTCATCCATATACATATCCAATTCGATAGCTTGACAAGCGAATTCAATTTATACATCGTCCTTAAATTTTTGTGGTTAATATCAAAAAACTGATGAGTGACAAATATAGGTTATTGAGATTATTTTATAAATGTTTAGAAAAGGATTTTTTCGGCTGTGTCCGCTAAAGTATAACGAATCAATTACCAATAAGACTATTTTCGCACCAAAAAAATTTCTTTGAAACTTAGAATATATAGAACTTATATATCAAGAGAGAGTTAAAATAAATTATTTTTCAGCACATGTTCGTTGGGTCAAACAAAAACAAAAAGTCGATACAAATAGCATGACGATAATGCACCTTTTGCCATTATTATTATCTTTCTATACTTAAGCGAATAATTTTTCACTTCTACTTTTAATATTATAAAAAACCTATGTACACGATAAAAAACAATTTATTTTGTGCGTTTGAGAAACGATAAAGATTTCCACATTAAAATCGCCTACTTTTCCCGATTTGCAGAAATATTTGAAAGTACGAGCCTTTCTTTGGATCGATACACAAGTGCAAATCGTGATCTTGAAGGCTTACATTACTTGATAGCAGAACATCCCAATAAATCCCGTCTTATAAATCTATTTTGAATGTGACGATAACAAGGAATTTACTCATTTGTCTTGGTGATAATTCGCCTCAAGTAACATGACCAGTTGGACTTTAATCTAATCACCTGAGAATCTCAAAACTGCCAAAAGAATGACAATATGAAAACGATTTGGTCTATACAACCAATGTACGACACCCATGTTTACCTAAGTCAAATCAGTGAAGTAGAATCGACAGCTTTTTTTCTAATCTTTTTAAATCTGTTAGTTTTTTTCAATTTAAAAATTATTTATATTATTATTTAAATTATTTATTTTTTAAAACAATATTTAAAAAATATCTTCAGGTAAAACTCTTTAAATGACTACAGTAAAAATAAAAATTTATCCATCGTATAGTTTTTAAGATTTACTTCAAAAATACTTTATGCATAATATAATAGCTGTGACTTAAAAATCTAATTGAATGCCCAAGGTCAAAATATTTTCTTTAAGCTTTAGTGATATGTCTTTCTCAACCACAAGTCCTCCCTATACCCATAAACCATAAATAAAAGATTTTCGGTGTGTCATAGCATAAATTTATTCTTAATTAATATTAATAATTAAAATTAAATAAATAATAATAAATGTTGCCTGAGACATGGTACAAAATTTTAATTTCTTATTTTTTTTTCAGGTGTAAGACTTGTGGTTGAGAAAGTATTTAGGAATTAAGCTTACAGAAAATATTTCAAACTTGACCATTAACTTTTAAGTCCCAACTAAAAAAATATTGTAAATTTATATATTACAATTTTCATTTAAATAAATACTATGTTTAAATAATAATGCTATAAGAGTTTATTTATTGTGTTGACATTTTTTTAAATTAATATACTAGATTCATGGAACAGTGGTAATTACAATTTAAACTAGATATAATTTTAAAATTAATCAATAAAATATTTTTACTAACTAATAGAACAGTATAAAATAAATTAAATGGACTAGACGTCTTTGTTACTTTATTAATAACAAAGAAAAGTATTAAGTACATATTTTTAAGGGGAACAACAATTATTTAATATTATAAAATGTTTATATTGATAATTTTTCTAATAAACCACATTATTATGGAAGATGATAGATATAAACACCAATACAAATATGAAACATTAACTCAAATTGGTAGAATAATAGATTGCGCACAGGTCTATTCAAGTTTCCTTGACTAGCCAATGAGAAGGATTTTGCAATTAAAATATAAAACATTAAGTGTCACCCTCATAAAACGGGCCTATAAAAGAGCGATTTTTGGCTCATTTAGCACCTCATTTTTTTTTTCTAAAAGTTTGGTCATGAAGTATCTTTGAACCAGAATATTTCGCGATTGTGCTCTCTATGATTTAAAATTTTTTTTTATACTTGGTGTTTATTATCTAAATATCTTATAAGTAATGTAATAAAGACAATAATAACTTAAACTTTTTATTTTGTTTATTTTTTTTAATTTTAAATTATTATGAATTAATATTTTTTTTATTTTGTATTTTGTGAGTTGTTCCAATTAAGAATTTTTAATAAGTGCATTTCGAAAATCTACCTTAGCACATCAAGTGGTTAAAACTGTTGGTAAAACAATGGTTTATGGCATGTCACTAAAGAGATCGTAGAGTGTATCTTAAATTTGAATAGATAAGTGTTTGATTGATTGCACAAGGTGCTGATGTTTTATTGAAGTCATTACCCTAGCACATCAGGCGGTTGAAATTATTGGTAAAACAATAGTTTGTGACGTGTGCACTAGGGATTGGTTCTCATAATCTATCTGGTTACTTAAATTTTCATTTTAAAATATAAAGTAACACAAATATTCAAACACCAGGTATAGAAAGGAACTACAGTGAAGTAATATTTCAAGTTTAATAATTTGCATAATTTTACAAAAATAAATAAGTAGATAAAAGTCAGTGCTCTCTTTATATATTTATATTTTTTTTGACGCAATAAACGATCAAGCTAGCTGGACACAAGGTAAGAAATTATATTTCTAAGCATGTCATAAAAATTAGAAAAATAAACTTAAGGTAAATCAAGAATAACTTTTGTCAAGCAAATAACAGATAATAAAAAAAAAGGAAAATATTATTAATAGCTATTTAGTCACCATACAGGACGCGACAGCTTGCGTTAAACATAAATATTTAGTTTATATTTAATACCTATAAAAAAAAAACAATTCAGCCATTAAGGCTTGGCGCCCAACAACTGGACACTTGCAATTTACGTAAACACACACAGTTTATTATTTCTATAACACAACCACTAAACATTAAGAGTCGTAAAATTCTTCTCCTTAATCGTTGCACGTTTCATTGTGCGTCATACAGAAGTGATTTACTTGCGATCTATATTTTACGTCAAAATAAGAGTAGTCATTATATCATAACAAAGAATTTATGATTATATGCCATATGCTTTTATTTTCATTTTGCAGCTAAACGAATTTCAAAACTCCGGTTAACATAATATTTATACTCATATTCAATTTAATTATCCTCTCATTGCTTTTCATATTAAAAAAAATTATTTATTGGATTTCACCATCCCAATATACAAAACATTAACCTACTTAACTCTTTTTTTTTTATGACAAAAATATAAATATAACATATGTTCAATTATAGCCAATTAGTTTAAACACATTTTTTCACCACTCTTTTTTTTTATGACAATGTCGGAGTTTTTATCGTCTTATTTTTTAAATTAAACGTCCGAGTAAAATCCGTCGTGGTTATGGTAGTTTATGATATCAGATGGTCGGAACCATAGTAAAATGANTGAATAAGAAGTATGCTCGATCAAATTAGTGCGCATGATAAGCCTAGGGGTAAAATATGTAACCAACAATAAACTCAACGTGACGTCACATGTAAATACATTGCGTTGTATATATTCTATATTAAGGGGCACTGTCCCGTTATAGTCAAGTATTTTAATGAACTTTTTTTTAGTTAATTTCGGTTTTCAATTTCATTTATAATTTTTTTATTATTATTATTAACTTCAACTGTGTTGTAATACATCTTTATTGTATTATCTGCTACACTGTAGTAGTTTATAAACCAAGATTTAATTCGTTGATAAATCTAAACTGAGAAAAACTTTAACTGCATATAAATAATTAAATATCAATTTATTGTGTAATTACTTACAGTAAGTATAAGTTGTTACATTATTTATAAAAAATGTAGTTTTAATGATTATTTAATAAATTTTTGAATTTTTTTTTTTATTGCTCATTTCTCGTGATGCAAGTTTTTTTATTTATATTCCGTATTCTAAAATATATTTTTGTTCTAATAATGAAGTTTTTGACTTCATCATCCACCAAAAGATTATCTGAATTACATGCTTTTTTAGTTAATTCCAGTACCTCCTTTATTAAGCCTGGAGTTTTTCTAATATCATCTATTAAAAATTTAATCATAGGTATGTAAAAATATTTTATATTAACTGTATTTCTATAAGTACCATTTTCATTTAAATTTTTAAAAATAGTTCCTATGATTTTTCCTAAATTTATTAATGTAGGTGATGGTTGTCGTAATGTTCCAAATTATTTAACCTCTATGCAATCATTAGGTTCATTCAAATTATCTACAAGATTCGGATATTTGTATTCAAATTTAAAAGCTACATATCCCCATTAAATATGTTAGGCTGTCCTCAAATAAATCTGATGGATTATATTTATTATTAGCAGCACACTAAAAAAATATACAATGAAAAGGTACTAGAAATATTGAAATATTATATTATATAATTTTTATATTATAAAAATAAAATAAACATAATCTATATTTCAAGATTATATTATGCTATCTCTCTCATTCACTTAATAAGTAAAATAATTTCTATAAATAATGTTGATTGTTTTTTAAAATTCACATTAATTAATACTCATTCATTTTTTTAAAAAAAAAAAATGCTATGCGCTATGTTTTCCAAAAATGTACCATCTTAACCTAATGTAATATATTTAATATTAATTTCTTAAGTTAATGTGGTGTTAATTCAATGTTAAAACATAAAAAAATAAGTCTGCACACTAGTTAATATAGCTCACGTTTAATTAACGAGGTACAAAATCCTAATTTTTCATTAAAATACAAAAGTTACAACAAAAAAATACATAGAATCTAAAATAAGTATCCACGATTAAATTTATTATAAAATATTATTGAATGCGTTGTTTTAAAGTAATTAATATAATTATTACTTAAAAATTATGTCTATCATATATATTATATCAGAATTATCAATTTAAAAATCGCCCGGTTTTAAAGTGCATTCGGAAGCGGTCGTATTTCACCGATCCTATACGAATGCACAAAAACACAAGGCGATGCACTTGCGCGTACTACTACGAAAATGCTGACTGTGATCGAGCATACTTCTTATTCATTTTACTATGGTCGGAACAATTACTATTTTGTCAAATGTCCAAGTATGTAAATTTCGGAGCAATATCAGTTCGCGGCAAAGACGTTTTCCCCATAAATGACCAGCTTACACGTTGTTAATTCTAAAAATAAATTACCCAACATAGTAATGTACTAATATTTTACCGTATGGACGAGGCTATCGGTCGTCCCAACACTGCTCGTGTGTAAATGCATACCGTCGTATACTGAGGGAAACAACTGTGATATTCGCACACGACAAATTGTGGGCGGACCTGTAAGGCTCGCCTGAGGAAATTTNTGTGGCGGACCTGTAAGGCTCGCCTGAGGAAATTTTAATATTTATTTGTTGTTCGGGTTACCGTCTGGATTCCCTATTGAGCTATCCGCACAGAGTCCTCCAAGACGTATATAGGAAATAGTGATTATTTATAAAGAAAGAAATTTAACACTTTCGATAGAAATACTGGTTGTAAATATTATAATGTATTTTAAGATATAAATGTATAAATATATATATATATGTATAGCACAATTTCGATATAACACGGCAAGTATTATTAAATGGTTTACAATTAGTGCTTATTCGACAATGTTGGACACTAGACTGACTATTGCTGCAAAATAGTCATACAAAGAAATCAAGGGAACATCCGCATGCGGATGTCCCTATCAATTATAAACATGTATATTCGCAAAGATAAATATTTAATAAAGTGGTGGTGACAGAACAAAATGTATTATAACTATGTGTTACTATTTAAAAATTTGCATTTTTAATGAAAAATATTTTTTAAAAATGCAGAATTAAAATATACGATTAATTTTCTTTTTTAAATTTATTTTAGTAGGGAGTGCGATCGTCCCGTCGTCCAAGCCACGATCCGTCACTGATAAATGCCATTAGGGAGATGCCCCTCGGAAAAAATGTAAGAAAATGATTTATTTTGATATATAAAGTGTTTTTTCAGAGAGGGGAGAAAATACAATTAGCACCCTCAAAAATTGTATTTAAATTGCGCCTATGTATCAATATCAAAAAATTATTCGATATTATTTTATTATAGTGAGCCAACTGTTAATAAAATCTGCTCTAAATTCTGTATTAATTTGTTTTATTTCAGTTGATACGTACAAGCCATGCAAAGCTTAAACGGCTGAACAAATTAAATGAATTGTACAAGTTTAAACGAAAATTTATTTTACGCGTATAAGAGCGATGGAAGTGTTTTTGTAATTGAAATACATTATATAAAAGCTAAAAATAGAACACGTATAATAGTATGGCGGTTAGCATGTTACAGTAATATTTCATAAGTAGAATTTTGTACGCGGCGTCTTATAAATTTTATATCATTTCAAACAACTGGTGATTATGTACAAACAGATGAAATTGCGCGTTATAATTACATTTTCTTCGAAAACGAAATATGTTTAATTTAATGAGTAATAATTTAATATAACATTACTTACTAAGAATTCCACGAAATGCAGAAACGAAATATAATAAAAAACGATAACAATATTACACTAATGACAAAGAAAAGTTTTAAAATAATGTTTCAATGATAAAAATTATTATTTCTAATAAAAAAACCAAAAACTATTTTTTCTCCAGTAAATTGTGTTTGTTTTAAGTAGCATGATTTTGAATTAAATACAATGGGTAAAATATACTTTAATGCGTCAATAATGAGATAACGTCAATGATTAATTATGGTTGTAAACGTTGTTATAAAGAATATTTCTAAATACACTACTGTATACACTCTTTTAATTTTATAATAGTTTGTTATAACCGGGGCTCGGGACTTATAGCATTTGCTAGATAATGCTTTTTTTTGCTATTTTTGATGATTTTTTCAAAAAACGCTTATTTTCAGTTTTTTCTGATTTTTTCGATGATACAATAAAAAACAAATGCTTGTTTCTTGTTTTCTCTGTTTTTGTACATTAAAATATTTTCTTTATGACGCAGCCTACCCAAGTTTTTTTTATCGGTTTTTGATAGATCTAAAGCCGGATTCCCACGACTGGTGTACTTGCCAAATATTTGTCACTTGTGTACACTTGTCAAGCCGTCGGAACACTATACTTGTACAATTATTGGTCACTTGTCAGTTTCCCGCAGATTGTCGGTAAATGTAACACAAGTCAAAGGAATTAATGGCTTGACAAGTTTACACTTGTAGTTCACTAGTGCACACTTGTGTACTTGTCAAATACTTATCCAATATTTGATTTTAGGGTGGCTATCGGTAACACAATTTTTTCTTCCCCGCCCACCTATATTTGTGTAGTACAGCGGTGGTTTATGTTGGCCTAATTAGTTGATTTAATTTAATAGATAAGTAAAACTATTTTATAGTATAATTGTAAATATAATTTAATAGTTAAGGTTGATTACATAATGTATTAATTATATAACTTATTAATTTATGAATGTTAAGTATAAAGTAGATATTATTGGATAGTTTAATATTTTACTAAAATGTTTATATTTGTAAAATTCTGTTTCATTTTTGCAAGTAAAAAATTATATACGGTGCGTAGCTGAAACACTATTAGTTAAAGAACTATTTTAACTAAAAAAATTAATCTAAAAAGTTTAAAAACTAGCAATACTAAAAAATGTATTTTAAATCACTCACTGAAACGTCCAAACACTGCAGCGCAAAAATGATACATGACTTAATATTTTTCAGGTCCCACCCCCAATACAATTATTTGGCATTTGATCCAGTCGTAGGAATAGTATACTTGGCTTTTATTTATTACTTGTACAAGTGTACAAGTACTGGTATACTTGTCAAGTATACACTTGTTAATAATTGGATGATTTGGCAAGTATACAATTATTGGTGTACTTGGCAAGTACACCAGTCGTGGGAATCCGGCTTAATAAGGAAAATAATTCAATTGCCTTCCTTGTTTGTAGGATTTTGTCTTTGTTATCTTATCTACTTGATAGCCAACGCCGTCCTCGGCATCGTTAACCTCTTTGGCTATGGTTGAAGTGTCATACTAGTGTGGTACTTGTTTAATTTCCTTTTTATAATGGATTTCTCGGTAAACAATATTTTTAGACCGTTATGGCATACTGGGATATCAACACAAATTTATATTTAATTTTTCAAAAAATCCATAAACAAGATATTATTTAACATTTCTTGTCATTCCACTTGAAAGCCGACGTCAGACATCATTTTGATTCTTTCAAAATTAATATTTTATATATATTTTTTTTTATATTTTTAATTTTAATTAAAAGAATAAATTAATATTCAGTTTTCATGTACCTATAATTCTACAATCCATTTTGCTTATCATACAAGTGGCTCAATGTTATATTTATAATATTATTATTTAAAAAAAATTTAAACTTCGAATAGCTACTACAATGGTATGTGCCACGAAAAAATGCAGCTGAATAACTATTAGATATGATAGGAGCCTTCTTTCTTACCATTTAGCCTCTAAGATACGTTTTTTGTGATCTACAGTATAGCAGTAGTTATTCGAAGTTTTTTATTTAAATAAATAATTATTTTAATATTACAACATAGAGTCACTTTTAAGGTTAAGAAAAATGGATTGTAGAATTATAGGTACATAAAAACTTAATAATATTGTTTGTTTAACAAAATCTATTAATATTATAAGATTAAAAGAGTGTACACAGTAACGTATAGAATTTAACTTGGGGTGGGTAATACATAAGAATCATATCTTATTCCCTCTTGACATAATAACGAAACTATGCAATTTTTTAGCTTTAGGATATTTAGGATTATTTGACAACTTCTTTAAAAGGTTAGTTTACAAAAATGTTAAAATTAAATTAATTTTCTAAAATTATTGTAAATATATAGAATGTCTTAGACCAAACTGATAACGCTTATAACTTTTAATATAATTATTTTGTTGAAATTTTTAAAAAATAATAATTGTCTTTATAGACTGCGTTTAAAGCATATTTTGTATTATTTATCACTAATAAAATTAACATTTTTATTATTACAGTTTTTTTTTCTTCAAAATAGCCTTTTTTAGTCTTTTTCTTAAAAAAAATGTTGATAGGTCGATAATAATTTTAGAATTATTACTAGTAGAGTTACAAGCGTTTTAATGCATTGAGTGGGTATCGAACGCGGGTGGAGTTAATAATAAATTTATATATCAAGAGTCTGGCGGCGAAGTGTCCGGGTCCGGTCCCGCGTCGCGTCGTGATACACGATGCCACATTTATCAGCCCTTGCCCTACTATGAATATTTGACTGACCAACACCGCGTGTCATACGCCACGGTGCAAAGTCCAACAAGTGTCGCACGGCCGGCGACTACCCGCCACAAACGATACGGTAGTCTTCTTCCCGTTGTCTAAGTGACGACGTCGAGGATGTACGCCACCGGCTCCGGACGTGCTGCACGACCGGACTCGACGAACCCAACCGCAACCGCGCACCCGTCGTCATCAACGCTGCTAACTTTTCGACATCCGAGGATCATGCCGGACACCGCGTCGCGGACGCCAGCGAAAGAACAGTGATATGATGCGAAGATTATTATTAACTGTGTTCGTCTTTTCGGTTTGTTTGTTTCTTTAAATAACCTGTTGTTGTTGATAATAAATGGCCTGCGGGTCTCTACCCTCAAAAACAGTGCCGACTACATTATTACGACGTAAGTCGTGTCAGATGTCATAATATTGGTTTGTTTATATGTATTTCAAACAGTGTTGGGGTACAGTAACGCTAAATGACTTCGAAGGGTTCCAAAATGAGTATCATAAAAAGTACAGTAAGTAATCACCTTGAAAACTGTATCTTTATAAATTTTGTTTATATTATTTATTTTTAGTACTCAAGCTTAATTCCTTTTGTGTATATATAGTCTTATCATTAAATTTACATATGTCTGAATTATTTGAATTAATATTTCATTATAGTTTTATTAATAAAATACTACAATATCGTATTACAATTTAATTTTATTGAAAAATGTTCCATTTTTTAAATATCGCTTATTTAATTTAAAAAGGCAGCAATATATTGTTGGTATACAGGGCGATTCCTTAATTACGTCTCACTTAATTTCTTTGATAACTTAAATGAAATAAAAACTTTTTTTTACAAAACTTTCGTATATTCCTATGCACTCCAGTTATATAAAAATATTTAGATCTATCCATTCCTCTACTCCCTCAAAATTAAATCAACATTGAAGAATCATCCAGTTAAGAAAATAACTGATAGATTACATTTTTTCATCCAGTATTTTGAATATAATTAATTTTATATGTTGTTATTTAAAAAAATCAAGTTGAATTCATTTTGAAAGACAGATGAGACGATATAACTATATATTTTTATCAAAATTATATAACAGAACATTTGTTTTATTTTTCCTTATATTTATATATATATCGAATGAGATGTAGTTAAAGAATTACTCTGTATTGATTATAGAAATATTAGTGAGGTAAAACCTAAGTTTATTATATACCTAAAAATAGATAATCTGTGACAATAGTTGTAGGCCAAAAAATTTTTTTACTGGTCGTGTAACACGTTTTAAATAAATTGACTAAAAATACCTCAAAAAACAAAATTCACTAAATCACTAAATTTTTGGTAAATATCAAAAATAACAAATATATTTTGTATTATTATTAGTAAATAACACCAATATAAAATAAAATTGTTAACGTTATAACTGAAAATGATTTCTATTATTCTCATTAGCTGTAATAATTGAACCGTATCCTTATTTTTTTAATAGTCTGTATAAGGAGGCTTGTTCCTCAGGTGCAAATAATAGTCAGAGTAACAAAAAATAAATTGTTGAATATCTCTAACTTTTGATTTTATCAATAAAAAAATTTAAGTTTTATACTTGTAGCTAAGTGAAAAAAAAATTAATCACTTAAAATACACGTAATTGTTAATAAATGTAAGAATTTAAAATAAAATAATATATTTTTTATTAAGTTTTCGCCTTATAAATGTACCCATTAATCACGAATTTTTGGTAATTACGTAATCAATTTGTATTGGGAATTTTAAAACTAAAACAGCCACGTTATTCAATTAAAATAATACAAAATCATAGTTATGCTGTTTATAATATTCAACTAAAAATTCAATGGTTTAAGTAAATTTTGTTTTTTGGTGGGCATTTTGGTCAATCTATTTTAAGCGCGTCGCGTGGTAATTAAAAAAAAAAGATGTTTAATCTCATTTTTTCATAGATTGTCTATTTAGAAATATAGAATATGCTTAGGAGGTATGCCACTCACTTTTCGAAGATTGACTTACTTTGCGCCACTCTAACCTGTACATCGAACTGTTACTGGTTCGATACTGAGCCGGACGACCTATTATTTATTATGAAATAATTTTAAAAATGTATTCCAAATGAATCCAAACAAATGTTTTAATACACGAGCAGAAAAAGCGCTGGTCCGATTATAACTAAAAAAGAATGCCTAATTTAACAAATTATACAATATGTTCTTACAGAGATTGGGTACAAATATTTCAACAACAAATCTTTTGGGTTCTACTAGTTGTGCCAATATCTAGAGATATAGAGAGTACCTATGAACTACAGAAGTAGAGTTTCAACTGATGTACATGAAGTTGGCGGTGCAAACGATGGGAATACTGAAATATGGAGATGGAAATCCGGACTACACGATTAATGAAAATGGAGTTGGTGAAATACCGAATGTGAATAGTGAAAATAAATTAGAGGTGTAAACAGGATATGGATATGGAGCTAGAGAGCCAAACTATTCAAATAATGGAAATAGAGTTGGTGAAATAGCCAACACGAACAGTGGATGTGGAGTTGGTGGTACAACCAGTATGAACACTGGAAATTTGGTTAGAGATACAACCAACACGAATCATGTAAATGGAGTTAGACGCAAATTATCAAACCAAAACTTCTTCTCAGAAAGAAATAATCAATCAATCCAGAAAACAGTTAATGGAATCGCTTGAAAACCACTGGCGCTAACCGGATGGTAGATGTCTTAGATACTGCAAATATTGCGACCAAAGTAGCCGATAACGTTATGACGGGTATTACGAACTTAAATCACAACGGCCTGAGTCTCACTAATCGTGTAGCGATGAGTAAAATACAAATGGGTGGCAGAGCTATGAATACAGCTGCTAGCGGTGTTGAGTGACTCATAAGCGGTGTAGAACAAATTGGAGGAGCTGGTGTTGAGGCTACCAAAACGGTATACAACCCAGAAGTGGCTACAACGGATAACATGATTAGAGGCAGTAGTCGTGTTATCGCTATACCAACAAAAGTAGCGAAAACAGTAACAGGTTTTATTGGAGGCGAACGCACTAATACTGCAAACCGGTGGCAGCAGTCGCTTAAAAATGAATTTAAATTCTTAAATTGATGAAAAACCAGCGTAATTGACAGTCATACCAAAATATATTTCACTGTGGTCACAAGAATTGAATTTGTCTCATACATTAGGCAAAAAGCTAATAATATTTGTTCAGATTGTCGTTGAATCATTTTTAGTAATATTTTATCATTTGGACCATATGCATCAATAAATAACAATATATCTTTCTATAATTTTAAAATCTTTATTTTTAAGCTAAATAGTATTTTATAAAATTAATTTTTGTTAATTTTTTTTTTGAATTTTAAATTCAATTTACATCTTTATAAGTTATATGACTATAAATTTTTACTAAATATAGTAATATCTAAAATCGCGTTTTATGATATTTATTTTATTGTAAGTATATTTTTAGTACCAAGCAAGGTTAAAATTGCGAAAAATTGAGATATATATATTTTTTAAATATGTTGTTTTACTAGATCATTAATCATTATCAAATTGAATAGTGAATATATTATATATTTTATTGTATTGTTTATGGCAATTTTTGTACTAAGACTTCAAATTATGTTACTATTAATAGTCTTTAAATACAGTTGTACAATAAACATAAGTTTTAAAAAATACTATTATTATAAAGCAAATTTTCTGATTATTTTAAATAGCCATATCCTTTTGTTAATAGCATATGTACGTGTACATTCACTATATTTCAACATATTTTATGTAGTCTCCTATTATCATTTTGATTTTTAAATTCAGTTTGCTAGTCACTGAATTCTAAAAGTAAAAAACTATGGTCGACCCAATCAATTTTTTTTCTGTATAATTTTATTTTGGTTTTGGTACCCGTACAAGCGCGCGTGTCATCAATATTATTATTATAAATTATTATTGTGTAAATACACAATAAAAATATCTGATAATATTATTAGATAAAAACATTTAAAGGTTCAAATTTTTTTGAGTTAATATACATGCATAATACATAAGGGATTACAAATACAGGAGGCTAATTGGTTTTTATGGCGATATTCGCAGGTATACAGTCTTTATTATCAATGGTAGTAAGACACATTGTTGTGAGTTTATAAATACGCTAACTGGTAATACAGAAATTATATCTATAGATAGTCATAATTGACAAAAAACACTCCGTGACGTGACAGCGATGTCATAGAAATATAAAAAGTAAAAAAATAAATATAGTTTAAAAAACTAAAAAACACGCTTTTAAAGCACGTTGAACAAAAAAGTTTTTAAAATAAGCTTAAAACAATAATGAATGAAAAATACTAGTATTCTTGTGAAAAAAATCGCTGGGCGCTCAATATACAAAAAATATGGCTCAATAGAGTTTTTTTAAACTATATTTATTTAGTGGTATACGCCAATTGAATATTTTTTAAGTTAAAAAATAAAATAATTTAAAATATTTTATTTTAAAATATCAAAGATAATTACAATATTTTAATCATTCAAATTTTAATAATTCAAAAATCATATTATGTTTTATTTTTTATTCAAATATAGATAAAAGTTTACTTTTATTAAAGTTAAGCTTCCAAATCACTCTATACAATTGTTTGTGACATAATGAGTATCTGGATTATACAAAAAACCGTAACTGTTGTTATTTTCAATAAGTGTCTTAATATATGTTTCAAATGTTTCTTGAATTTTTTTAAGTCGTTCTTCAATTGGTAATCTATACAAAGAAGTATTACTTAGAGATTCTTTTGGATTTTCTAAATATAAGGATAAATATTCAGTATGCTTGTCAAAAAATGTAAGAATATCTTGTTTTGCTTGTATACTTGTTTCATGAAAATAGACACTTGTAGGATCTATTGTTTCTAACTTCCCCAAAATATCTAAACTAGTATGAATTCCATTATAAAGTATATCTTCAACATTTCTAATGGCTGAACCCAATGAAAAAAAAAATAATAATGCATTTTTCATCTTTATAATTTCATTGTAAACGTTTTGAAAATTTTCAGCCAAACTCTCTTGACAATTTTTTTTCAATTCAAAATTGCGGTGATGTGTACAGAAATTCCAGAAATATATCGTTAAATCGATGAGACCTTTTAGATCAATAGCATAGTAAACGCTCAATAACAAATGGAATTGCCATACTCTATCGTTAAAATTCTCTTCTGTAATAAGATTAGTGTCCGAATCACTTGGAAATAATGTTTTCAAAGTAAACCTTTCAATATAAGTTTCAAAATTCCGACCACAAAATATAAATCTATCAGCATGTATATATGTTGTTAATTTTCTCCAGCCTGGGTGTTGCACCAAAGTATTCAATTCAGAAACTTTTGTGGCCGTTACTCTAAAATTAATTGCACCACATATACAAAGTAAAGAAAAAAAAGACATTTGAAACATTTTGAAAAAATGATTATTTAAGAAAAATACGATTTCAGAGCAAAAGTGTCTTCCTCTTTTATACTAGTAAATGGTACTCTGCTCTTTATTTAATAAAACAAATAAAACTGTTAATTTTAGTCAAATTTAGAGTATAATTCTAAAACTATTACACAAATTAAAAAATTACTAAAAAAAATTGTTCAACCTTATTTTATTATAAACTTTCATAAAAATCAACATTAAAGGTAAAAAAAAATAACATTTTGCATAGATTATTTTTAACATATTGAAAATCAAAATCAGTATTTATTTAAAAACAGTATTTTTTTTTTGTTTTTAATTATAATTATTTTTATATGTAAATACTCGTTTGTACAACATATTTGACTTATTAATCTAATCCAATATTTTTATTTAATTAAACTTCAAACTAACATTAACAAACATAATACTCTCACAAAAGAAGAAATAAAAATGATAAATTATTAAAAATACATTTGAACACAAAATTACTTTTAATAAAAATATAAACAATTTCATTGAGTTTTTAAATGTATGAAGTCTATCCTACATTAATCAAGTAAATCATAATATTATAATTAGTAATAAAATAGAATACTTAAAAACTATCGAATTCCCTAGAAAATATCACACGGGTACTTTCTCGATATTTTTCTGTCTATGTAAAAGTATTATAAATTATGTTCAAGGCAAGAATATTGTAATTTTAGTGTTTTAAATTAACTTTAATTTTAATTACGCAAACATGTTGCTTCAAATTCTCACCGTGTAATAATACAACAAGAGTATAGCTTAAGTATTTTTCACGTATATGTTAATTAATAATAAAGAACTATTTTGTAATCAGCGGTGTTATGATATATATAGATAATAATAATAATTCTAATTTTTAAATATTGCAAACAAAGCAAATTGGGTAATCAAGTTCATGAGATAATTTTAGGTTAAAATTTACGCGTTGAAATTGAATTTATAAATTTATTGCCAATAAACCAAAAATTGTTGGGTAAAAAAAATATTTACCTATCATATCAATGTTTTCACAATTTGTTATTTTCCAAATTTGACAGCTAGATTCAACTTTATTCCGTTATAACAAGAAAACATAAAAATTTTGATACATCAATTCGAGATACCAAAATTATTTAATATAGTCCAATATTTGAAAAATATAAAACTTTTAGTTAAGTATCTCGTTGTTTCTCTAGTTTAGAAAAATAAATTCATTTTTTTTTTTTTTTAATAAGTTTTTAATAAATTAAATAATTTTGTTGAAATTAAATTTTAGAAGCCTTAATTTAAAAATACATTTTATATAAAAAAGATTTATACTTCCAAATAAGTGTATTATATAATAATAATAAAACACATCATGGTATTTTTGTTTAATAATAACAAATGCATTATTGCTGCGAGATTTTTTTTTTAAGTTAATTAAAATATTGTTGTTAAAGTAACTCTAAAACAATGAATTCGTCTGCTTTAGCCCTATTTGTTGAAATTTGAAGGTCAAACTATAATCCAATATTTTATCTTAAAAAGTTCATTACGTGTTACACCTAAATAACATACGTTTACAAAATTCAATCACAAGTCATCGATTTTTTAAGTATAAGTATACCATTAATTCATAACAGATATCAGTTTATTTCTGCAATTTTAACAGACTTAACATGAAGGCAGCTTTGGTTATCGCTTCATTGTTCGTAACAATTGTAGCTCTCGATGCTACTTTTGTCAGAAAATTCCCTGGAGATCACAGTAAGTAAATTTTACTCTAATATATAAAGAATTCTTATAAAAAATATTCATAACTTTAAAATTTTAATTGAATACTTCTAAAAAGAACTTGTTTACTCTTATTATTCATAATTAAGATCATTACCATTATTTCATAACATTATAAATATTAAAAATCATAGTTACACATATTTCAATATTAATATTAAGACAACGCATGTCATATAACACATTGTATGTCTAAATATAGGGAATAAAACAATATAATTATATAAATAACTTTATTGTCCCTATGTACTTTTTTAATTAATCAAACGCTAAAAACCTATCTAAAATAATATAATGTCTGGGGTCTATTTAAATTACACCAATATATCCGTTGGACAATTAATTTTATGAAATAATACTAACTTACAATATATTTAACTAAATTCTAATGTATATAAAATGATTCGTTTATCATAACCTACTCAATTACTTACAAAATAAATTAGCATTTTAAAATGTAGACTGAAAAGATTAAGAATGGGTATGATTATTTTTATAATTAGACATTTCTCGGGCGCACTCTTCCTTGCCTATAAAAATATGAAGTAACCAATGATTTTTTATTTTGTACATTAGATAAATACGAATGACTAAAAAAAGCCAAAAAAATATTTCCGAAATTACTTTTATTTTGTGAGGCGATTATGATAAACGAATCATTGTATACATTTCAACAATTAAAATATGATTTTATTAACTGTAATTTCGCTTGAAAATGATTTAATCGACAATTCCATTTCATTATTTATCAGTTATTAATAATACAGTAATGTTTTTTTTTAATATTCCAGACCAAAGACAAGACGTCTACAAATATGGATCGGACTCTGAGTTTATGCAAACGCCAAAAAGTGAATTCTTTGAAAACGATGACATTGAATCCAACTACTATTACAAAAAATTCAACCAAATGAACAACTACGAAAATGGTTGGTCTTTTGAATCCGAAGAAGTTGGCTCAAATGAAGAATCCAGTGAGCAATACAAACACAACAACAATGTTGAAGTTTTCCAACCTGGTACCGCCAGCAGAGGCGTTGTTGAAAAAATCGCCGCCATTGACAGAATCATTGCTAAGGAACAACAATTAAACTACAACGTTGGCGTCAACGATTTAAAAACCCCATTAAATGTTAGAAATGTTTATATCAAGAACCCCCAACGTGAAGTCATCACCTTGAAGAATGCTCAAATCAAGAACATTGAAAACGGTCATTTGAAATACTTGGTTATCGATTCAGAAAGAGACGCTCTTTTCGTTCAATACAACTTTGACCAACTCAGAACCGAAGGATTTTTCAAAATTGATTCCACAGTCGACGGCCAACACGGAGATTTCGCCGTTGAATTGCACAAGGTCCGCAGCAATGTCACTGAGAAATTGAGCACTGGTAAAACTTTTTACAGACCGTCCAAATTCGAATATGCTGATGTTGTCGCCACCAACCAACATGGATACGAAGTTGAAGCTTTGTACGAACCATTTAACTACAAATACTTTACTGTTTTAGAAGAAACCGTCGCTGATGAAGTACACAATTCCATTCACAAAGGATTATTGTTTAAGCTTAAGAATGAAATCAACACCCCAATGAACAACATCAAAACTGGACAATACTCTAAATTGTTCGATTTGAAATGGCAAGAAAAGTTGAACGCTTTGGAAATGAACAATATTGGATCCAAAAACTGGCAACACGGTGACAGACAAATTAACTCATTCTCCTACACACGATTGGACTCAAAAACCTATCAATTGCGTTATAACACCGTTCTTAAGAACATACAATGGACTAGTGACTTAAAAACCATGCTTTCTGGAGAACAACAAGCTTTCTACAAATCTTCTAACTTCAAAGTTGACAAAGTTCGCATTAATGTCACCATTTTAAAGAATATCAACAATCATCAATGCAACAAAGTCAATGTCAATGTTCATTTAGATGGATTTAACTATTTACCAGTTGGACAAGTACAAAACTCTAACTTACCAAGCTTTACCTCACATCAACTGCCCAGATTCATGGAACACAATTTTGAAGCTGCCATGGAAAAATCTCTTGAACAAGAACTTTGTTTTGGCCAAACATTTTAATTTTTTAGCTAATTCTTAGAATGTTTCAATAAAATAAATTTTAATTTCACATATTAGATCTTCTTATTAAAAACTGAAAGAGATAAAAAGTTTAACAAAAAAAAATTATTTAAAATTTATTAACTAATTAAAACACAAATTAGCGGCTCGAACAATTAATCAAATTTGTGCAGACTCAAGTGCGAGGCGAGCATAACACGTGCCCTGCACCCTGCACACAGCAATATTGTAGTTAGGATTATGTTTTCAAATGGAGTATAAATAAGAAAATTTTATTGGTCCTTTAAAACAAAAATATGGTTGTCATATATTGAATATTCACTCTAATAATTTTTTTTTTTGTATGGAGCTTAAGGTTTATATATTTAATTTTAATATTTTATATTATTTAATTTTTAGTAAAACTCAAAATTAGATTATTAATAGGTAAAAGAAAAAAGAAAATTATGATTGAAACCCAAGAAAATCATCTTCCAACTAATGTAAACTTACCCCTCTCCCACCGATATCAAACAAATTATAGTTAAGTATTTATTATTTGAAAAATTTCCAATATTTAAAATTGTTTTTTCAAATTAAATTATTTTTAGCTTCGATTCGAAACTGATTTCTTTCAACGATAAAAGATTAAAAATCGTATCTAGTCGAAGACATTACACTCAAAAATTGAAAAAATTTCCCTCGTTCACCGTAAATAAGGGAAATTAAAAATTAAAAAATCACTAATTTTCACACATTTTTAAAACATTTTTTATTTAAAACTGCCATAACTTTTCAAAAAAGACCAAATTTTTTAAATATAATTTTTTTTTCATATATGCATGATGTCTATCATTTGCTGTATTTTTTTATATAAATCTAACCCTTTGTCTGTCCACGGGGGGATACAAAATGACAACTTTTTCACAAAAAATTAACTTTTACAACTTAACTTTTGAAATTGTTCCGGAAAGTCTGACACTTTTATATCTTATTATATAATAGATATATCTTAAAAGAAAGCTAATGTAATGTATTACTTTATTATGGAAAAAAAAAATGTTCACTCTTTATTTTGTCTTTACGGTGAAAATGGCTACTGAATGCTATTATTGTGTTAAAATTCTCAATTTTATAATTTACATTTTTAACTTTATAATACTATAACTTATTGTAAAGTGTAGGGATCAACAAAATTTTTTTATGAGAAATAATATTTATATCCTTTTTTCATTCGACATACTTTATCTTAATCAGGAAATAGCAGATCATGTCGCTTTTGGAATAATCCACCATTTTTTTAATATTAAACACATTATTATTATAATAATATTATTTATATACCTCTATCATTCGATATATTTATTTTTTTAAATAAAACATTTTCCCTTTATATAAATATATATTTATTAATATATTACACGTATAAATCATAAAACTTGTGATCAGGGTATAATTAAGGAAATAATTGGAATAATCCACCAATTTTTTTAATTAAGCACTACCTACAGATTTGCATTGAAGCGTTTTTTATGATAGTGATTTTAATCACTGTCAGATATCGTTATACTTGATCCGACTAAGCTAACTAAGCTGTGCCTCGACCCTACTATGCTGGGTTTTTTTATTGATAAATTTAAAGAAAAAGTAATTTTTTTTTGTATTTAAAAAAACATTTAAACATTAATAAAATGTTAACTAAAATTTGTTAGATATATGTGTGTATATTTTAATATTAAGTGCGCTCGATTTATTTAATTTATCTTGATATAAATACTATTTTTTTTCTAACATTATTTTGTATTTTTTAATAAAAAATGCAATTATAGTTTTAGAAGAATATCTTAAATTTTAAAAATAAGTGACATCCTTATGGTATCTTAACAAGTGCCATAAATCCTCTGAATCGAGTAACATTATTTTGATTAAAAAAAAATTATATGAACTATGCACTATAAACTTTATTGATATTTTGTTTGTCATAGTTGTTTAGCCCACTTTCATAGAAACTTTTGAGCATTTTAAAAATATAAATATTTTATTGGCTAAATAATTAAAATTTAATACAATTTATTTATATAGTCAATAATTTAAAATAATTATATGAAACTCTTTAAACTCAATTATCACTGTACATTAAATCTAAAATTCTATTTTTTAAATTAGTAAATCCCGTTTGATATTATTATGAACTCAATTATTAATACCCATGTAATCAATGAACAACTGTTCGTTGTCCCAACAAACAAGATTATCGAACATATTTTTATGAACAAATTCGTTGATTCAACGAACATTTTATTAAACCAATGACGAGCCTTTATCGTTCAGTTTATTTATTATTATTTAAATATTTGTTATTCATCATCATACTAGATATATTTTATAATTTTGGAATATTGTACTCTCCGACTACTTGGAAGTTTGTAATAAAATACATAAATATGGTTTAAGATTTATTCGTTTAAACTTGTTAATTAATTATTTTTTAATGACAGTTAATTTTAAGTTTATTGGTTTTTAAGACTAGAAATCATGGTAATATTGATTTATTACTAAGTTATAAAGTGAATAATTATTTTTTCGTTTAAAATTTTATTAAATTTTTACGCAATAAGAGTTATGCTAATTTTAACTTATAATGATTATTACAATGATACATATATAATAAAAATCCACGTATGTAAACGATGGAAGTAAACATTATGTTTTTACATTATTTACTGTTAACAGTACGCGATTTCTTTTGCGAAAAAAGTTGATTGTTGGTATTAATAACTTATAAATATTCATTTTATTCTACTTTTATTATACAAAAAATCTTCATTGTTTTATAATAATTTCAATCAAGTTTTAAGTTTTCTCTTTTCCGTATTTATTTGAATTCATTTAGTTAATGAGTTTGGTGGTCTTAGTCTTCTAATGTATTTTACCGCATGATTTTTTAAATAATTTTTTCAAGAGAAGCAACCGTTGTAATAATCAGTTAACATTAGCATAACTCTTATTGCATATAAACGTAATAAAATTTTAAACGAAAAAATAATTATTCACTTAATTGGTAATAAATCAATATTACCATGACTTCTAATCTTATAAAAGTCATCATAATATTAATTGTATATAAATATTGAATTCTTATAAAAATACATATAGCCAATCATAAATTGTAATGATTTTTAAGTGTTCATAATGTTTATATTAATAATTACAACTATTACATCAATTAAACTTTCATTGCAGACAAATATTAAGTTAAGACATTTTATAATAAAGATTAAAGTTTTTTATTTACTTTCCAAAATGAATCTTCTTTATATATAAATACAGGTGGCCCACCACTCACTGACAACTTAAATAACTTTTGATCCAGTTAATATTTTTAGCTGATTTTTTTTTTAAATATTAGTTAGATGTTAGGTCTATAGCTATATCTCAATAATTCATTTTTTTACATTTTATTAAAAATATTAATTATTTTTAAATTTTAAATAAAATGTAAAAAAAAAATCTAAGATAGCTATTTTGTAGAGTAGAATTTAAGAAAAATTTTAGTAAAAAAATATCTTATTAATATTCAGTAGTAAATATTCTGTAGCGTTTTGAAGTTTGTGAAAATTTGAATTTTCATGTATTATTTTACGGTATTAAACATTGAAATACGTATTGAGAAAAGGACAGAAGAAAACGCTATCTTTTGATATACTTTTGAATGAGAGTGTTAAGTAATAATTGCCTTATCTAATTTCTTATTATGGTATTTATGCCAAGTTTGTAATGTATACACACTATCATCGTATGTATACACAGCAGTAATCATGAAAAGATAGCGTTTTTATCTGTCCTTTTCTCAATACGTATTTCAATGTTTAATACCGTAAAATAATACATGAAAATTCAAATTTTCACAAACTTCAAAACGCTACAGAATATTTACTACTGAATATTAATAAGATATTTTTTTACTAAAATTTTTCTTAAATTCTACTCTACAAAATAGCTATCTTAGATTTTTTTTTTACATTTTATTTAAAATTTAAAAATAATTAATATTTTTAATAAAATGTAAAAAAATTAATTATTGAGATATAGCTATAGACCTAACGTATAACTATTATTTAAAAAAAAATCAGCTAAAAATATTAACTGGATCAAAAGTTATTTAAGTTGTCAGTGAGTTGTAGGCCACCCTGTATAATATATATATATATATGTATTTTTTCAGTTCATACATCTGATAGACCTAAGAATATATTTAAAAATGCATTTTATATGCTTTTATTAATTAATATTCAAGAAATGCTATTACATGCACTGACATCTAAAATATGAAAAATATGCATTGTACAAATTTGTATATAAATTCATCATGGCTTAAAATGTCGATATTTTAAATCCTCCTTAACATTGCATAAGATTCCGTGATCTAATTATAACTATGTAAATAATAAAATAGATGTCATTAGAAAAGTTGGATCTCACAAGAAAAAGAATTAAAAGTACACAAAATTTGATAGTTTTTAACTTTATTTTTATATAAAATGCACAAATAATGGTTTCAAAAATTAGCTCTTGGAGTTGGTTCTATTTTTCAGTAATAATTGTTAAAAAACTTCATTAAATATTTTTCATTGTTCTTAGAATTAATGTTGTTGATTCAGTATTTAAAAAATATATCATGGAGGGCTTTTAAAATTAAATAGCTATCATTGGTGTAGAAAACAATACACAGTTTTTTTATTTCTTCGGCTTGACACGGAAACTCATTAACAGTTATTTATTTTCCTTTTACCGTCATTTAATGTATAATCACGCAATTATTTTTAAATAAACACGGTTGTAATGTTGAAATTACCGCCTTTCACTTTGGTAACTAGTGATGTTAATAATAAATATTAAAAAAATTCTATAAAAATAGTCCGTAATGAGTTTTTGCAACAATCCGACGATTTATTTTGTACCTGTACCAATCAAATTTTAACACATTTATGTCAAATATGGTATTTACCTTTTTTTTTGTGGTAGATATTCAATACAACTAAGTATTATTTTTTTAATATTAAATTATAATATT